ATACTGTAAAAAAAAAGAATAGACAAAGGTGTGTCGCGTGGCGTGAGGCAATTAATCCCTTTGCGCAATAGTGCCCAAAGAGGGAAAATTCCCCCCCGCCAACAACACAACAACAACACAATCTGTTTTTGGCCAAGAGAGAAGTTTATTCAGCTAGATCCTAGAATAATGAAATAGGACCGAACAATAACAAACAAGGAAGCGAAACCGAACCGAAGCGAAAGGAAAGAAGAGAGGACCATTGTGCTGTAGAAATCATTGAGACGCCATTATAAGCTCTGAGAAAACGGCGCCACCACACGATATCCTTGCGAAATTCCGCGGTCAAGTTGACATGATGATGATTGAAAAGAACCTTACGTAGAAGAATGAGAATGCGGGCGATAAAGATGCGACTCTGACTCACACACTTGGAAATAAAGATCAGTTTTCCCACTAGAGACTGAAGGGCAGCCTTCGTTGCTGTTCGTTTGTGAATCCATTGCTCAAGCAATTGTTCAAGCAATTGTTCAAGTTCGCAGAGTCACCCAGGGCTCACCGAAAGAGTTAATGTGTCTGTGTTCAACTCGACACCTAAACAAATCATAACTGGAGAGGGCGGGCATGCTTTTTCTGAAGATTCTTGTAACCCGAGTGAAGACAATAAATTGCTAAGGGCCTGAAAATCCGTTTGTGCGTTAAAGGCCGGAGACACGCCGATGAAATCGTCTAAATAGGTAAACACCATGCGTCCTTGTTGTGATTCGACCCAGGCAACAGCAGCAGTAGAGCGTTGGCACGCCATAGCGGCAGAGCGCAATCTCATCGTGAGAACGGTGTCGAAATAAAACTGTTTGTTCCGAGTGTATCCCAGAAAAGGATAATCTTTGGGTTTCACTGGGAACTGGCGGTACGCCTTGCGAAGGTCACGCTTGTACAAATAACAACCACGGCCCAAAGTAACAACAGCATCCACAATGTCTTCAATTATAGGATAGCGTAATGAAAGTGGTGCCCTCAAATACGAGTCACTAGGAATACCATCATTTACTGGATGACCGGACGGCCAACTCAAATCCACGATAACCCTTCTCTCCTCGGAATCCCGCTTTTCCACGGTATTGAGAGGGGAGAGCACAAACCCCTGCATGAACGGAGCCTTGTCAAAAGGCCCTGCAATGCGGCCGAGTTGGACTTCTTTAGACAAGTACGTATTAACTTGGTCTGGAAAGGTCAACGCGCCCCGATGTGTGCGAAGATCAAAAAATGGGCAAAGTATCAGACATGTAACCGATAGGCCAGCCAAATTCAAGAAAGTCGCAAATAACATTATCCGGATAATGCTGAAGGAGTTCACGCCACTTAGCGATATTGAACGCAGAGAAAACCAGGATCCGTGTCACGCGATAATTCTGCTCACCAGTCAGAGCCACAGAGCGATGCACGTCAAGAAAATTGGGAAAGGAAGAACTGAGCCTCAACGAAGAACTTGAAGGGCAGAAACGTGCTCCCGGAAACTGACACGAAAAACCCGAAAGTCTTGAATCATCAACAAAAGGAGAAACATGAAGTCTCGCACTATCATACTGAAATTGTTCTAGTCTCGTACCTAAAACGTCATGTTCAAAAACCTCAGAAACGAAATAATCACTGTAGAGAGCACCTTCATCAGGAAAATTTGTAGGATGAACGAAGGTGCTCGATGAACCTAGTTTTTTGCCCAGGAGTTAGTGGAAAGAGGGCACTCCTTCGATCCCTCTGGGTGCAAAGCTTGTGTACGTCCTTTGACCCAACAGTTGGCACAAATGTGACGGAGCCATTTCCTCTCGCCGCGGAGCAAACCGTAGTGATCTTGTTCAAACGTGCACGTCTGTCTTTGGTAATCTCGACAAAACAGAATCGGAACGTTCGCGGAAGAAGAAGCGCTCGCGGACGGCTTGGTTGCCTTGAGATGACCATACAAAGTACGGCTTTCTAAAGGTAGAAACGAATCTCCCCATTGGAGCAATCCACGTTCGATCTCTAACAGAACTGCGCCGTGAAAACTCAAAACAGCCTGCCATTCGTAAAGCTGGGAAAAATACATTAGCGAAACCAGATGTTTAAGACGGGAAGAACGTTCCACCTCAGATAAATCTGGGGACAAGAGGATCTGGCCATAACTGGCAACAAATTCTTCGAGTTTAAGCTCCTCGTATTTGATGTCGCGGCGACCTTGAGTAATGCTGAGATAACAATGTGGCCATGACTGCGGATACAAGACGGTGCTTGTTATCTTGACTTCTTTCCAAGACTTGAGAGACTTACCGCCGTGCGCGTGTGCTGTCTTGGCCTTCGTACTAAGAGGACTTTGCAGATCGCTGTTGTCACCATCAGAATCACTAGTCGACGCACTGGAGTCAGCTAACCCAAGCTGGGCAACTTGTTGATCAGCTTTTCGGGAGAGGCGGGCCATAGCCCGTAATTCGGGCAAAGTAACGGCAGAAACAGGTCGTGATGCTGGAGCAACATCATGGCCATC